CAAAAGGGATCCTAAAGGGCCCCTTCAGGGCGTTTTTCTTCACCCCCCATTTAGCTCACCCCCCTGTACCACCCACATGACATGGGGTGCAGAAAGAGTCGAGCTGTAAGAGATTGGGGTCACTGCAAAAACAGGGATACGCCGGAGCGCCAGATCTTGCATCATCTCGCAGGACCAGGATTGCACTGACCAGGGCCAGTGCGCAGGATCCTGCAGGACCTTACGGGGTCTTGCAGAGCAGAACCAGGCCTGCATTGATCAGGGTCAGCGCGCAGGGTCCTGCAGGATCCTGCAGGATCTTGCATGGTCCCGCAAAGCCCGACCGCACGGGGTTTGCATTGACCTGCGCTAGAGCGTCCCCGAAAGAATGGGCTCGAAGACCGACAGTAATTCCGGTTGGAGCCGGCTGGGGGTCTGAGGTGGCCCCGCTTTGGTGGCGGCCAACAGGAGGGGGGCAGGTTCGATGGTCTGGCTTCGAGGAGGTAGTTTGCCTTTCTCGGCATCTGGGGTCCGTTTTCCGGCCCCCGGCCCGTTATAATCGAATCCAGGGAGGAAGTTTGCACCAGACGGACCCCAGGAGGAGTTTGGGAACCGAGTTGGAACGGATTTGGCTCAACGGTTTGGAACCGAGTTGACCTCATGAATGATGTTCTGGTGTCCCAACCAGTTCAGCCCCCCTGCTCGTTTTGGACTGGATTGGTTGTCGGCGCCGCCGCGGACGCTGTCCATCCCATTCAGCAGGCTGCCTGCACAGCAGCGGCCGCTGGCGGTTCTGGACAGCATCTGTTGCTGGACATCGTTCGTCTACCCTTTCTTTCCGTACCCAGCTCGGGCGTCTAAAGAGGCACTGGGCGTCGGCGCCGCGCCCGGCGCCCCCGGGGACGGCGGCACCGCTGAGGCCATCGGAGAAGAGAAGCATTTGCCTGAAGGTACTCTCAGGCCCCGGCGAGTCTACTTCACGCCAGGCGCTTTTGCCCGCTGAAAAAATTCGGCGCGGGGCTTTTGCCATCTTCGGCTTCCAGCGGCCCTCGGGGGGAGGTCGGAGGGGGGAGGGGGGGGAGGGCGGAGGGGGGAGGGAGGAAGGAAGAAGAAGGAGGGAGGAGGGAGGAGGGAGGAAGGGAGGAGGAGGTGGGCCTCGGGACCGTCAAAGACGACTCAGGGAAGGGGTCCAGACCTCCGAGGGTCGAGTGGGGGAACAGAAAGGCCTCGAGATCCTGGCGCGCCAATTTCTTCACGCCGGGCCCTTCCGCCCACTCTCGGGCCCACGGGACCATCACGTGTGGATCCAGTTCGAAGAATGCATCAGAGAGAGAGGGCAGGGGTCATTTCGATTCCTCCGAGTCGATTCGTTCCGGTTCGAGTCGACTTGGGATTCCGATTCGGGATGCGATTTCTCACTGGATGCCTACTAGCCTGCCGATTTTCACCGTTTCGACTTTTTCCGACTCGGCTCAGCCGATCTGACTCATTTCGATCGCCGATACGATTTATCGATTCGATTCTGGGCCCTCCTGTAGGGCCTGTGGCTCCGGTCGTGCTGTTTCGCGACGTTTGCTTTGTTTCGCGACGTCGGATGTCAGGGGAAGCATACGCCTGAATGTTCCCAGACCTCCGACGCATTGAAGCACTCAGGACGGAGGTTTCTCATAGTCGGCCAGCGGGGGGGCATCGCCGCAACCTGCGGTGACGTCCAAGCACGGCGGAACACCGGTCCCAGGGATGGGTCGAGACCTCAGGTCAAGAACCCCTAACCCTGGCTACACAGTGAAGACGTGGCCTCACTCAGGTCCTTGCCTTCGCAGGAGTGGTCACGATTATGGGCGGCTTGGTTTGAACACCGGTCCCAGGGATGGGTCGAGACCTCAGGTCAAGATCCCCTAACCCTGCCTACACAGTGAAGACGTGGCCTCACTCAGGTCCTGGCCTTCGCAGTAGGGGTCACGATCATGGGCGGCTCGGTTCGACGCCACGTGCAGGCAGAAAAAGGCCCCCTCTGTCCCTGATGTCTGGGCCCCCTAACCTTGGCCCCCTCCCAAGAGGGTTGGGGGGTGCTCTTGCTGCTTATGCTCAGGGGGTCCACGCGGTGAGCAGATCACGACGCTAGGCGCATCGCCCGGCACCCCAGGGGGGCGGCGGCCCCGCCTTGGCAATCGGCGCAGAAGAGCGCGTGAGCGGCGCAGCACACAGCGAGGGCCCCTGCCGGGAGACGCCCTGCTTGCCTCCAGGGTGCCCTGGGTGGCTTAGGTGTCGATGGGTTTTCAGAGCCCCGAATCATCAGGGGTAACTCGGGTCAGGGCTAACTCGGGTTCGTTTTTCGGGACTCCGAGCCCGAGTGACCCCGGACCCGAGTTACCCCGGATAGCTCGGGCGTCCAGAGCCCCAAAATCATCAGGGGTAACTCGGGTCAGGGCTAACTCGGGTTCGTTTTTCGGGAACCCAAACCCGAGTTACCCCGGACCCCAGTTACCCCGGATATTTCGGGCGTCCAAGTTTCGTGCGATGGAGAGCGTGACGTGGCCGCAGCAAGAGTGAATGGATGTTTTGGGGGTCTCAGGGTTGGGTTTCCTGTCGGAGGTTTCTTGTGGTCGGGCAAATACTGCCAAACAGGGTCGACCTTGCAGACGTTCGCGTGGGAGGTTTCACGCGTAAGGCCGCACGTGCGCGGCCTCGCTTCGGACCTAGCGTTCCGCGCTGGTGGCCCGCTTGTAAGCCACAGCGTAAGGCCATGATTTGCTCTCGCGTAAGACCCGTGTTCTTCTGTCGCTCGTTTGCCCGAAGGTACTTCGAACACACGGGACCTGCACAGATAAAAGACATGCAATCTTGGAGCTCCGCACAGATTTGTTGGATCGGCGCCCAGGCCTCCCTGGCGGCGCCTCCCGCGCCGCGCTTGGCGCGCTGCGCGCGCCAGGGAGGGGGGGGCAGCGCCGATCCCAGGAGTCCGACCGAAGAAAAACCCGCGCTGGTCCAAGAGATCCGCAGCCAGCGCGCCCAGGGGCGCGCGCCGTCTCCGCCCTGGCGATCGAAGAAGAGAAAAGTTTGCCTGAACGGCCACTACAGTCTGGGCACGCTGGGCGCTCCCTCCACCGCGTTTTTCCCGACCTTTCGCCCTAACCTTCCGCCCCCCCTTTCGACACGATTTATGTGGGTTCCCTTGACTTGCGCGGTTTACCATGCGTTTCGATGCTCTCTTCCGCACCCTCCGCGGAGGTCGGAAGGCATGGGAGGTGGAGGAGGAGGAGGAGGAGGAGGAGGAGGAGGAGGAGGAGCACGGGGAGGAGGCGGAGGACGAGGAGGAGGAGATTGAGGAGGAGGAGGAGGAGGAGGAGGAGGAGGAGGAGAAGGCGGAGGAGGGGAAGGCGGAGGAGGGGGAGGAGGAGGAGGAGGAGGAGGAGTCGGAAGAGGAGGAGGAGGAGGAGGAGGGAGTAGGAGGACGTGGAGGAGGAGAAAGAGGAGATTGAGGAGGAGGAGGAGGAGGAGGAGGAGGAGGAGGAGGAGGAGGAGGAGAGGCGGAGGAGGGGAAGGCGGAGGAGGGGGAGGAGGAGGAGGAGGAGGAGGAGGAGTCGGAGGAGGAAGAGGTGGAGGAGGAGGAGGAGGAGGAGGAGGACGTGGAGGAGGAGAAAGAGGATATTGAGGAGGAGGAGGAGGAGAAGGGCTTTCGCCCGTTGAGACGACGGGAAGCTTTCGCCGTGCTCGGCCTCCGCCAGCCCCTTGCCCGGTCTCTCGGCCCCTTCTGGGACCCCGCCGCGGCGGGGCGCCCCCGCGGGGCTTGTGCCCGGGCTCTCCTCCTCCAGGCCCCGGCCCTAGTTATTCACGATTGCAAAAAATGCTCCCGCCTCAGCGCAGGCCAGATTCTTGATAGGAAACGAGAGGGATTCGTGACACAGTCGGCACTTTTGTGTTCGGATGCAACTCCTGGGAGGTCAAATTCTGTTTTCGCCCTGGTCCCAAATCCGGCTTCATCCAGCTTGATCCCGCTTAAACCGGTTGAATCCCGTTTGATGCCGCTGAATCTGGCTTAATCCTGATTGGTCCGAGGCCTTGTCCGGCGTAACAGCTCCCAAATGGGGCTTAATCCTTCTTTATCTTTCCGACGAAAACCTCCCAGCGTTGCCTCCTAATTATCGCATTGCATGTTGCTGTATCGCCCCATGATGGTGCATCGTTTGCTATATCGCGCGCGAGTGACACACTGTTGTCGCCGAGCCGTTGGCCACGTCAACTTGAATGGGTCAGGTCAACTATGGCGCAGTGTCGACAGGGCCTGGTTCAGGTTAGGGTAGTGATTGGCTACGTGAAGGGGGGGTGTATGTTCCTTCCCAGGGTAACGCTCTTTACCCAGGCCAGAACCACCTCTCCACACCCCTGGGGTAACGCAAACGATCGTACCGGGGGGGTGGCTGGACCTCATGTCGGACCAGTCCCAACCGATTGGTACCAATTCCACAACCGACCCCCCACCCCTACAAGGTGTGGTGCGCACGGGCGATTGATGCGCTGGCGGCGCGGACGCACCCTGGCGGGTGCACGCCGCGGCCGCCTTTACCGTTGCCTTCCCGCCTGAACCCCCTTCTCCTCACGGGTAACGACCGTTACCCGGGAAAGAAAAAAAGGTAACATGCAGGAAAGACGCTGGAGATTTGTGTTATCAGGTTATAAAATAGGGCCTCCCGCGGCCGTTCAGCTGGTGGAGAGCATCCCGAGGCGAGAGAACCTCCAGGTCCCAACGAGAGCCTCCAAACACCAACGAGAACGTCAAATCATCTCCAACCAGGAACATATCCCTACTCCCCATGACTGGCATCGCCTCATCTCGATGCCGATCTTGAGGATTTCCCTCGGTTTCTGAGGGCGCATCCCTGAATTTGTCATCGCATTGTGGCTTGTCAGTCCTAGGGAGGAGGAGGAGAAGGGAGCAGGACGAGGACCAGGAGGAGGAGGAGAAGGAGGAGGACGAGGAGGAGGGGGGTGGGGGGGGAGGCACAGGAGGAGGAGCTGGACGAGAACTCACGAGGAGGACCAAGGACCAGGTGGATGAGCTCGAGGCTGGTTAGAGTCACAGCGTCGGAGCTTTGGGCAGGCTGGCGGCGCCCCGGCCGCCGCGAGCAGCACTCGCCGGCCGGAGGGGGCCGGGATGGGCACCCTGGAGGCGCTGCTGGGGCTGGAGCGGCAGCTGGCGGGGCTGGAGGAGAGGCACGCAGGGGAGGGCCAACCAGAGCCCCGAATCATCAGGGGTAACTCGGGTCAGGGTTAACTCGGGCTCGGATTCCCGAAACACGAGCCCGAGTTGCCCCGGACCCGAGCTACCCCGGATAGTTCGGGCGTCCAGAGCCCCCCATCATCAGGGGTAACTCGGGTCAGGGCTAACTCGGGTTCCTTTTCCGGGAATCCAGACTTTAAGGGTAGCTCTTTGGGAGATGTTACATAGAATCGGGAGTATAGCTCGCGCGCCGTTGCCTTTGGCTCAAGGCACGCGCGCCCTATTTGCCCGGATACCTGACTTGGTATTCGTTATGTGCTGGAAAGACCGATACATCGATCTTATCCTATCTTACCCATCCACTCCCCATATCGTATTCCTTCGACATGGAATTGGATGCAATGTGACCTACCAGGCTCACTTTCGACTTGGTAGCGGAGCTGGCCGCACTCTCGTGTGGTCAGCTCTTGCTCTTCTCATCCTCATACTATTCGGCACGATCTTCGTGACCACCTACCACCCTGCGCTACCACTCCCAGTACGTTTACGAGGATCTATCCAAGAGTAAGAAGCAACACGAGAGGTACGACGTCTAGACAACAACATTGGTACCATATGCGCTTCATCATTGCGCTACTATCAACCGCTCGGCAACGAGCCAAAAGCGCAGTACGTGAAGCATGGGCGGAGAGATCCGCCAGATAGAGCGCCTCGAAGATTTGACAAGGCGCTACCCCAGCGCGGCGACGCGCCTAATCATCACCCCTATCTTCACAGCCTTGGGCTGGTTATCTTCGCCATTATATGGTCCGCGCTGGGGGCAGCAATCGGACACATGCGCCGTGGAGAAAACAGCACCGATGGGCAAACACATGGCCCATACTGGGACCCTCAAGGCAACGTGCCTTTCCGCGAGTACGTTTATGAGGTCAACGCGTGGCTCAACGTCACAAGTGGACGTATGACGCCACAGGCCCAAGCGGCCGCCATACAACGCGGCCTGGGTGGCCTAGCGAGGACACTCGCCATGAGGGTACCACCTGACATTATAAACTATGGTGCTGACATCGATGGGGTCCACACCGACCCAGTGACCTACATCATGTTCTTCCTAAGCATGAAGTTCGAGCGCCTGGAAGATGAGCGCCAGCTCACTTCCGGCACACAGCTCATCGACTTCCATGTGCCTCACGGAGAACGAATCGATGTCACCCTTACCCGATTCGAAATGGCCCGACTTGAGGCAAAGTCGGTGGGATTTGACCGTCCCAACTTCCAACTACTAACCACGATCCTGTTCCGCGCCTTAGGCGTCGGCAACCAGCGAGCTATGCAACTCTTACAGCCACTCAATCATCAAATGCCCCGAACACAACAACAGTATGATGAGTTGCTGGAGAGGATGCGTTCGATAGGCCACCTATCAGAACGGTCTCCTGGCAATATAGGATCTGTGTTTGGAACGGGAAGGGGATCTGGTAGTGGGAATTTCGACACTACCTTAACCACTGAAACCCAGCCTGGAAACGGGCTCTCAAGCATATGGGCCGATGACCCTGGAGAATCCACTGCTCTGCTAGCAGGGGATCGATCACAACCAAGGTGGGCAACCAACCCTCCTTCCAGAGAACCTGAACCACACCGTTCTTTATGGGGAGAATCAAACCCCCTAACCGACGGTGTATCCACCTACTTGGGAGATGATGACTTCGACTCCGGCACCGACACAGATACTGTATCATCCGACCGTGTTGAAGCTTTAGATTTGTCAGATATTATGAATATTGAAAATGACAATCAGCGCGCTGAACACTTGTTTTGGTAATTGCAACAGGCTAAACGGAGGTGGAGGAGGTTCACACGAAAACCAGTGCGTCGTGCTAGGAGGAGGATGCGGAGGAGCTTCAAAGGAAAAGGTAAAAGCAAACGGGGTCGTCGGAGGTTGAATGGGCGAGGCATCGCGGCCTTCCTCCAGAGGCTCTCAGATGAACAATATGATGAGATATTCTTCGGGGGGAAAAGGCCGCGGCAAAGGCCGTAGAGAGACCTCAGGCAAAGGCAAAGGCAAAGGTAGGCGGGGAAACCCGCGAGGTAGAGACGGCCAGGTCCTAAATGCCATGAGTGTGATAGTACCGACCATATTGAGAGATTGTCCAGCGAAGGGAAATGGAAAGGGCAGATCGACCGAAGTCCATTTTGGCTCAAGTGAACCATTCATCGAATATCTGAGCCTCCAGGATTTTGAGGCCATGGAACAGATATTTTACATTTGGGTTAGTTGCATGGACAACGTCGACGAGCTCGAGGCGCATGGCCATGGACTGTGCGCGTACTACCTCGAGCACGTCCGCAGGTTCGTTGTTGGCAATAACGAGCTCACTCCCGTGGAACACGGAACGCTGGGAAACCAGCCTCTATCTTTCTTCGACTGGATGTTCGGGAACCCAGGCAACATCATGGCTTACGAGAGCAGTGACGAGGACGTCACTGTAGAGGCCTCGCCTTCAGAGGTTAACCGTAACCTCCAACCTCCACCCGACCTCCCGCCTGGAAACGGGCCTACCTATCCCCGAAATTATGCTGAACTTATAGAAATGGAATCTCAAGCATTCGTTGCGGGCGCACCAGGGAACCCATATATACCCCCTTGTTCGCTTGCGCCAGGCGAGTACGGGCCACGCACGCTACTGCAAACCCTCATGCGGATGCGCGAAATATTGACTATAGCATATCCTGAGAGTCAAGAAAGCATCGAGGCTGGTAACATGATGCTACATGACACTGACGCTTGCGACGACTCGGAGTTAGTGTTGGCAGCCTTGACTCTTATCGACAGCGTGCACCCTGAGGACGTGCAGAGGCATGTGTGGTACTCCCGAGGGAGGTGGCGCGAGGCCCTTGAAAGGGCCATCGCCATGCGCGGCCAGGCTCTTCCTCCGCCAGGATGGGGTCTCCAGGCGGCGGGACTATGGCCAAATCATGCTGCCATGCGCGACATTGCTGGGCAGCCTGTGCTCGGCAACGAGCCTGAGCCGACAACCGTGCCGCCTACCCCGGGACAGCCGAGCGACGCTCAGACGCCGGCTATGCAGGGGAACCTGCCCGTCCCGGCTGCACCAATGGCCATCATCATTGGCAGTTCTACATCAGAAGATGAAGAGGGCGATGGTTGCGGGCTATGCGAGGATGAAGCCACAATCCTCATGATGGAGGTCACCGGCGAGGAAGAGGTGGACTTTGATCTTGACGAGCCCGACGCACCATCACCATCGGCACAAGCGCCAATTGCGCCGGGCTCCAGCCAGCAGGGAAACCTGCTTCTATTAGCCGATCCACCTGGGAACGCACAGGAGCCTCCGCAGGCGCCCCCGCCGGCTTCTACTCAGGCTGCTTCGGCAGCCTCTTCTGATGAGAATGCCGGAAGGTCTCGTTCCCATCCGCGCGTCAGAGGAGAGCCCCACCCACAGGCCCGGCTTCCTCGTGAGTGGAGGCAAGCTGGCCCAAAGGAACACGCTCTCAGGCGTGGAGGCGAACTACTTCCTTATAATGACCCAAGACGTCGGAAAGGGGAACACTCGGCCTTCGGCAAGGGCAACCCTGCCTATAGGGACGCTCGGGGTAAGGCCATCCGCGGAGGCTATCGGCTTGCAACAAACATCCGCCGCCCCGAGATAGAAGAAGTGCGGACTCAGCGGCGAAACATCATCGCGGCGCGCAAGCTGTATAGGCCTCAGGCAGTCTGCGGACCATGCTCCGAGCCGTTCCAGAACCACAGGCCGGGGTGCCCTGTAGGGCTCAACGAAAGTTTGAGCCCGAACAGGGGCCGTGCTCCTCATAAGGAGGGCCATCCGCCTCTGATCCCGATGACACAAGACGAGATCGCAGAGATCAATCGCCGTCTCGGGATCACGGGTCACATGGAGCCGAAAGCCGAGGGGGATAAGCCTCCTCCGGCTCCAAGGGGACTGGTGCCCATGACCCAGGAAGAAAAGGACGCGCTCTTTAATCTTCCTGGAATGCGAGGAAACTCGCCCGGCGTTTCCAGCCAGTCCCAACAGCCAGAACCTACAGCCAAGGATGACCAGAAGGCCCAGCGAGTTGCGGCGGATGAGGAACGCATGCGAATAGCAGAGGAACGCACACGCGAGGCGACTCGCCAGATGCTGATGGATTCCCAAAAGATATACATGAAGGGGGCTAAGAAGCCCCCGCCCCCACTCCAACCGAAGGCTAAGAGCGAAACTCCAGCACCGAAGTCGCCTTCGGGGTTGAGACCGAAAACAACAGCACGCTCTGAGGATCCTGGGCCAGATGCGCAGATGGAGGCGCCTCGCTCTAAAACTCCGAGACCACCCGCTGGCGCAACTCCAGCACAAGGACCTGGCCCCAAGCAGCAACCCCAGGACCCTGTGGAGGAAAGGAGACGCCCGCCTAGTCGCAGCGGATCCATCGCCAATAAGGCTAAGGCTTTCGAGCGCACAGGGTACGCCCCTGCGCCAGCCTCGCCTGTGGCGGCATGTTCCAAAAGGTCCGACGAAGGTGCTCTGTCAAGGGGTACCTGGGTGCCGACGATTAGGGGTAGCGCCAGTCGTGAGTCACCGCGGGGAAACCCGCCAGGCGCCGCCGCTGCAGCCCCCTCCTCTTCAGGAGCCGCAGCCTCCTCAGCGACAGAGGCTCCTGCGCGGGGAAACCCGCCCGAGGATCAGCTGCACCACCCAGGAGACACGTCCTTCACCAGTGGGACTCCGAACGTGATCAGGGATAGACTTGCTCTGCGGAAGCTCCCACCGATACGCTCGGTGGATGAGGAATTCGTGAGAAAATGCAGGCAGGAAAACATTATCCCGAGTAAGAATCACACCCTCAAGCAACTGAGTAAAGCTCTCAGTAGGATATGCAGGCATGCGCCGGACAAACCACACAATCCTGTGTGGGACCTGACTACATCCGATGATCATGATGGCTGGATTAACCTCGTAGAGCTCGTAAATGAGTATCCGTGGAACC